GTGGTCAGACACTGGAACAGGTTGCCCAGAGAAGCTGTGGCTGCTCCTCCCTGGAAGTGTTGAAGGCCAGGTTGGATGAGGCTTTGAGCAACCTGGTCTAGTGGAAGGTGTCCCTGCTGATGGCAGGGGGGTTGGGACTGGACGATCTTTAAGGTCCCTTCCAATCCAAACCATTCTATGATTCTATGACTCTAATCCTGCCAACATACATGTGCTGGAGATGGTCCATATAAGTGCTCCTTGATTTGGAGAGTTGCCCCTATAATGATGTCGTTGAGGGTAAATACAGATAAAACATTTGATCTGCTTTTAATTTGAGCAATGTAGATCTTCCTCCTTCCATATATCAAAGAGGAAAAATGAACTTGTTTTTACAGTGCTACCTCTTTAGAAACATGCTCAGGACTGAGGACAGCACAGGTATATGTTGGTAAGATTGGAGTTGTGATCCTTATAGCTTGATTTAAATTTATTTCTGTGTGTATAGGGAGAGAGAGTTAATGCTTCTTTACAAATACTTAGTTTTTAATGGGAAAGGAAGCAGTAGGGAAGTGAATCTTTTTATGAGTTTGGGTTATATTTAGTGTTAGTTTTTTTCAGATCAAAGAGATGAGGGGAGAAGAGAATTCCTAAGAACTAAAATATTTTGATCAGATTTTATATTAAAAACATAATAATTGTTACTTTTTCTTTAACAGTTTTGTTCTGAAAAGTGTTTTGTTTTTTTTTTTTTTCCCCCCCTAAGACATATAAGGCTCAAAACCTGAAATTATATATTTTTAACTCATGTAGCATACTGCCTATTTCGCCTTTTTCCTCCAGCTTGGATTTTTTCTTATAACTGTTTTAGTTTCACATCCACCCAAAACAAAATATATTTTCAGTTTGACCACAGACTGAAAGGTCACTTGGTCACGTGATGTCCAGATTTCATCATCTTCTCATTCAACTGAAAATGCTGATGCATGTGTATTTTCATGTCTCCAGAAATGATTTACGTTAAAGACAATTTTCTAATTCAATAAACACAGATTTCTGAGAACACTTCTTAGCTTTGGAAAAATCTGAGGATCCACAGCTTGGGTTCAGCCTGTTTGAAATATTTCCCTTTAAGCTTGACCTCTGGCTCACTGAAGTGGCTTTACTGTGACTTCATGCCATTGACTTCTGTGAAGGAATATCTGATGTACAACAGGGTCAGAATCAGTCCCTGCATACTTATTATTATAAGTTAACATACTTATTATTTCCTGGTTACTGTTACAGAAACATTATTAGGGCTGAGAAAGGGGAAAAAAAGGAAAAAGAGAGAATTTCCACTATGGTAGATGTGTGGATTAATATGTTTGCACCACTTTAAAACAAGTAATGCCAGATATATTACTTTATGTCATATAAAATGTGCTAGGGTGCTAAAAGTGCTAAAAGCTGGTGTGTGTCAGGGGGTGCAAAAGCTTGCTCTAACTGGACTAAAATAAATATTTTTGTGCCATGGATAGTGGATCAAGAGAGTCACACTTGTAAGGGAGCTGCAGCAGGCAATGCTTTGCTTGTGAAATTCATCGTTAGTGTAGAGTGGACACAAATTGTGTGCCTTGTGGTAGAAAAGGCTCATTATTGCCAATGTGCTTCCTAGAACTTCTATGGAATATACACAAATATATGTGGAAATAGTCATATAGACTATAATGTCTATGTATATTTATGTATATATCCCATAGAAGGCCAAATACTGCATTCACCACTCCTCTTCCCCAGACCTCATGTTCACCATCATTCAGTGCACCAGGCGTTAAGTGATGATAAATTTAGATACATTTTTTTATGGAAATCTGCTGCACAATCCTATTAGGATTGTGTTATGGACTCAGAAGAAAGCTACATCATCTCCTGTAGAAAGAAAGAGTTTTCAGAATTTCTGTAACAACTGTCTCAGAACAGCTAGAATTTACACTCCAATTTTCTCCAAGGGTAAACCCAATTCATCCTAAATAACACTTCATAGAAGCTTTCCTACCTAGTTGCTGAGAATCATCTATCCTGGACAGGTCACTTTGAAGTCTTGCCTTTACGAGAATTATCACATTGTTTCATGGGCTAGTCACCTAAAGTGCTTTACGTGGTGGTCTGCAAGAGCTGGAAATTTCATGTTTGTATGAGTTCAGAGCCTATTTTGGTCACATAACTAAGAGATGAGAAGCTCAGAAGGACTCATTGTGGAGTGTTGAGAGAAGACTTTAGAAAAATCTGAGATATGGAAAGTCTTAGGCTTCCCCAGAGAATAACCTTGTCTTGAGCTGCCAAGAGAGTGAGATTTGGTCAGATTTTACCATGGTGTGGAGGGTTTCTGAGCAGTAAGAACAGCCCTGCCAAGGAGCTGAATGACCAGACACCCTTTCTGAGAAATAAGGAGGCCAGGTTGCATGTGCCAGGTACTGAATGGGTACATGGGGAATGACTGCTCCAGTCTCAGCCAGTTTCAGCTTAAAAGAAAAGGCTGAACAGGTGGAGGCAACATAGGAGTCAGGACTTAAAGATGGAAGTGAATCTAGCTAATAAAGAGACAAGGGGATGTTTTGGCCAAGACTGTGTGCACCTGCTAGCAGCATCGTTACCTTTGCTTTCTACCATCCTAACTTATTTATGGATGTCAGTTCTCTCTGTGCACTGGGGTGATTGTGAGAGAGAAGTTGCATGTTAAAAATTAGATTTGGACAAAGAAGTGTCCTTATACCTAATGGAGAAGGCCAACAAGGCAGGAAGGTGTTCATGGGAGAAAGGGATCAAGAGGACAGCTGAGATGTGGATGTGGGGAAAACATCCCCACACAAGTCAAAGAAAAGATGGGAAGCCAGACTGTAATGAGCTTTTGATGCAGGGACATTGTCAAGGTCTCCTAGATGAGCAGTGCTGTATAGTGGACCAACAACCAATAACTAGACTCAAGAAGAATCTGGAAGCAAGACAGACACACACTGAGGAAAGAAGGACGGGGCAAGATGGCTATCTCCTAGCTTTTGTGATACGTTTAATGCTGCCTCAGTGTAGATAAAACAGTGAAGAACCTAGAGCTACTATGGGACCCAGGCACTGCAGGATAGAAAGGATGGCCAAAAAGCCTTCTTTCTGAGATGATTTACTCTGTAAAGGTTTAAGAGGTATAGTCATGCTGTCAGCATGAAGGTGTTTACACCAAGCCATGAATAGGCAGAGATCCTGGTGTTGCCTGGATCTCCTACTCTGCTCCTCTCCTCCATTCACCCCCAATCTGCCTTGGCCTTTCTCTATGCTCTACACATCAGCTGTGCCACTGACTATTCCTTGTCAGCTCAAATAGATCTTTATACAGCAATAAATTGCCTCCTGCTAGGAAGAAGCTCACTGTGGACAAAACAACCTGGTCTCACTGCTGGTTGAGCTGCAGTATCACCCAGAGTCTTTTGTAGCTGGGCTGTCTCCACCAGAGAACTTCTCTGACCATTTGAGCTCCTCAGCTACAAGCCCCCCATCCCCAGTGCTACCTATTTCCCAACTTCAGTGCCTCCCTGACAATAACAGTGTGCTTTTGGGTTCCTCCATGGCTTTGAGTGGAAAAATTAACTAGGCAATCAAGTCATCCTGTCACTTCTGGCCAAGAGTTGGAAACTGGAAGAAATCCAATGAGGTGAGACAGGAAAGAGAAAGAGTTGCAGAGGAGAAGCCTGGTCATTGCAGAACAGCTGGTTGGTAGGTACTCAGGTGTGAGACCTCCTGGCAGTTAAGAGTGTAAAGTCCAAATCTACAAGAGCATGACTTGAGTAATAATCAGTGATATATTTATTGTGGGAGGAGAAGGAAAGGTGGGGAATTTCCCTGAGAAGACAGTAAAATCTATGAAAATAAATAAGTTTGAGGTGGGAAGCTAAACATTCCTGAGCTCTACACCTGGCTGTGGCACGTCATGATGGTGGCTTTGGATCTTTTGACCTTGTTTTGGGACTATTGGCTGCAGCCTTCACCCAAGGGAAGGGCTGGGGAGTCCCTTGAGGTTAGTGGACCGCTGCAGCATTGGAAATGGCTGCAAGGGGGAGCACCAAGACAAGTCCCTTCTTTAGTTGCACTTGTTTTGCATTCAACATAATGGAAAGCAAAATATGGCAGAGGTTTTTCTCTCCAAATTTCAGTGGTTGATTTAAAAAAGTGTGGAAAATTTTGCTGCGTGTCTCTCTCTGCCTTGTCTTTGCTGTTTTCCTACTGTTAGGACCTGGTGGGGAGATTCCACTTTCATGCTGAAACAGAAAGTGTTTGTGTGTGTTCCCTAGAAATTTTACATGAAGTTTTGAGGCTGGATATTGAACTGTAAACAATTTCTTGGGGGAAAAAAAAAATAAAATAAATTTCAAGTACCTGCTGCAAAACACAATATATAATTTTAATCTACTTTACAGGGAAGTGAGAAGGTATTAATTAAGCAGTTAATGATTAATCTCAGCTTTATGTTAGTGCAAAGTACTGATCAAATCTATTCGTAAGGAAATGATGAAAAGTAATTACCTTTTAGAACCGAGAATCTGAAGAAGGGTCATGCAAAACTATACTGGAAGTGCTGGAGAAAGGTTGAAACGCTTTTTTGAGCTGAGGAAATTGTACATTGGAGGTGGGATTAGTGACGTAGCCTCGCTGCAATATTCAAGATCAATTTTCCTACCCACTGTTCCTTCCTATCTCACCAACTTTTGAAGAGCTCTCAGTTTTCACTTTCAAAAATACATTTTTTTTTTCTGCAATCTGACTTTCATTTTTTTTGTGGTTTTTTGTTTTGTTTTCTTTCAATTCAACCTGTGGCTTCAACTTTCCCTACCCCTTAATTTAAGGCTGCAGGGAGCTTCAGGGGAGTGACAGTACAGAAGAAGGATAACAGCACAGAGATTGCACCCCGACACGCACCCACACAAAGCCAAGGTCCAGCGAGGTCACACCAGGGCCCTGAAGAGAAACCCCCACCAGCTGCTGCCAGGGACCTACAATAAAAAGGCACCAAAGAAAGTTTTGTGCTCCTTAGTGTAATCCACCAGTTTGATGTCACTAACGTTGACCATTAATTTGTCTCCTACTTCTAAGGAGACCACGGCGCCCAGATAAATGGGCTGGAACCAGCTATTTCCCTTTTCACTGAGGGTTGTGGTGCCTGTCAGCAGCTGGGTGGGCTCGGGGTAACTGTCAGTGACTTTGGTGATGATCTCGGTGACAGAATTTGGTTTACTCTTGTTTTCAATGGGCCCTCGGAAAGTGACCTGAGCGTAGACATAGTAGTCCCCAGACACAGGTATCACCAGTGCGTTGCTGGAATAACTCAAGTTGTTCTTGGTAAAAGCCAAGCCTCGCTTGTCTTCCCACTGCAGGATGGGCAGATGGTTTCCCACGGGATTGGTGAGATCTTGTTTCTTCACTGAGGGAGGAAGAGAGAGGAAGAGGTGGGTTAGTTTGCCACAGCTGCTGAACGTGATGTGAGTTCTTCACTCCAAAGAGTGGGCAATCTAACTAGGGTAATCATAATGCTAGGGCTGAAATGGTCTTATTTTACAACTTGAAAACTGAGGTGAATTGGCTGCAGGCCAACTGCCCAGGGATATTTTTGGAAGGTGTCCACAGGGGATCTGGACCTGAGCAATTGGGAGTGACAAGTCAAGGTTGCTTTTGGAAGACCCTGACCAGCACACAATCCTTCAGGCTGCCTGAAGGATTATGCAGTGACTGGATGTCCTGCTTGTGGGCCAGATCCCAAATGATGAGACTGTCCTTCCTAAAGGCTGAGTCTTATGGCACTGTGGAGCAATGCAGATGGCTTTACCCTGCAGGTCCAGGATGTTATCTTATCTATTTACAGAGTAAAAACATTGTCCTTGAATGAAACTAGTGCTGGGACAATTGTACACACGGGTACCAGGCCTGTACCTAATGGTTCAGGATAGTAATAAGAAACACTAAAACATCATTTTCTTCCATAAAGGTGAAGTTTCACAATGATCAGTCTGATCTATCACCAAACACAAAGACACTTGAACTTCTCTCCCTGCCAAGCTGCTTCTGAAGGACGTTGGGGTTTGTTATACCTTCTGTCAAGGTATAACATAAAATTGTTGTGGTATGACAGCAGCTGAGGCAGTGAAAAAGAAGAGGATAAAAACAATTAAGATTCTGCCAGGTATTAAAAAGAACCTGGAAAGTTAATGTTAAACACTGAGAAAGACTTCCAGGAAATGTGACCTTTTTCATGAGCTTGAGTTAATGTTTAAAGTTGATTTTGATTCAGTATTTGGGGAAGGGGTGTGTGTGCATGGGCAGGGAGGCCAACTGAGTGTAGGTAAGGTAAAGCTTTGAAATTCCCATGGCAATAACCATTAGGTTTATCCTGGGTGAAATGAGATTCACAAAAACTAATGTGCTCAGCTCCTGATGACATCCGTTTCCCTCTCTTTTCCAGCAATAAATAATCCGTAAGGAGACAAGAAGGTGTTAGGAGAGCAATTTCTTGCATATTCTCTGAGTAGCACAACAAAATAATGGCTTTTTTTTTTTCCAGCCTGCCTGTCAGTGCTGCTGAAATACCAAATATTTCTGATCTTTCCCCAGGAGGCAAAGTATATGGAGAGAGTATTTCTGCGTGGGAGAGAGATAGACAGGGATGGTGATAGTAAGCCAAGCTAAATTATAGAAGGACTATGAGGCTTAGAGTCAATGGAGCTTTGCCTGATACAGAGAGAGAGGGCAATAAAAGAAAGTGAAAGTACTCATGGTCTGCCTTCATCCTCATCTACCTCAGTGTTTTCAGACTGGTCTGTGTCCTGGCAAAAACTGATGTAACATTTGACTCACTCTAAGGTTTACAAGAGCTTGGAGTGATACCTCTCAGAGGTCAGTTGGTAGCAGATAAAATCGGGTTTGAAATGGAAAGGATCAGAAAAGATCAGAGTATTTCCAGAAAATATCCTGGGCTCTTTTCCATCTTGGGAATTTTGAGGGAAATTTGAAGAGAAGCTGCATGTGAAATAATCTTTACCCTGTATAATGACGCATTTAAAATGTCAATGACACTCAGTTCTTCAATGTTTTTTATAAGTAACAGACATCTCAAATGAAGTACATGATTTCATAACTTCTGGAATTAGGCAACTCTATGTTTTACAGCTATAACCTCCCTTTTAGAGTAAAGCTCACTCTATTGATGCTCTCTATTTTCAAGTTAAATATTTTTTCCCATGCTTTCAATACCAGTCGAGGAAAAATGCATGTTCAAGTGCCTTTGAATACAGTACAGCTTCTTTTCTAGCAGCAGTTGGACTTTGTAATTGCCATTTATTTATTTCATAAACATATGGAGCGATACTTCCTGAAAATATACCTATTATGCTAACTCTTGAAGTATACAAAATCTGCTTTTAATAAGGGATTCATTGCTACAAGTCCTTCAAATTTCCCACCCGCTGTAAATTTTTCGGCATCTCTTACATGTGAAATTACTTCTCCTTTCCCCAAATCCCTTTTGGTTTAGTCCCTTACTGGAGTATCCCTGTTGTTTGGTAGCTTTTGTGTACATTTTTTAGCATTTTGGTGAACATGTGGGGTTTCTTAGTATGTACTGCAAAGACCCATGGCTGCACTGTCATTTTTGCTCAAGATTGTGCCCTGGGAGTTTAATAACTGTCCTTAGAAAGTCATTACATCCAACAATCGAGTGGAACCAGAAAGTGATGTTCCACCTAGATTAAGTGGAGAGCTTGGATATCATTGCAGCACGATAAGTGCGAGCCAAGTACTTGATGGTGTTTCTGCAACACAATTCATCCAGCTGTGTCACAGGTTGGTGACAAGAAGGAATAGGCATTGGTCTGCATTTTGACCCAAAGTGCAACCAAATAAGCCAGGGAGGGGTGGATGGCATGGCATGGCACAGTCAACACCAGGTATACATTAGTGCACAGGAGAGAATGGGGATGGAGGAACATCCTGGCTAGGTATTCATGTGGATTGTGCCATTCTTCACTAGCTACAGCCACTCTGGGAGGGGAGACCTTGGTGCCAGTTCACATAAGTTCAAAATGCTCAGTGTGTGTTAAAAAGGCCAAAAGCAGGTGGAAAATTCATCATAAAGGAACAGGGACGAAAACATCGAGACATTCTGCTGCTGTTAATTTAGTGGTGCAATCCCATGAAAGTACTATGGTTAGATCTCTGTCCTCTCCCTCCTCTGCTCTCACCCTCAGAATATATGTGCCTAAAACTAGAAAAAAAAACAGAGTGAACAGAGCTCTGGAAGGGATTTCCTACAAGTGAGAGTTTGTAGTCTACCCCCTTCACTTTGAAAAAGGTTCTTGAGTTGGGGGAATGTAACAAAGATCTGAAGAATAATCATTCCTTTTTCACTTTCTACGTACGAGTCATGGTTTCTGAGAAGACCAGAGCAGCACCCAAGAAATTATTGTACAGCAAGTTTAAAATAACAGGAAGTATTTCCTGACTGTGATGCAGCATTAAGCTTGGGAAGTCATTGCCACAGGGTACAGCACCAAAAATAAGCTTGGGCTAAAAAAAGGTCAAAGACAAGTTCATGGAAATTTGGTTTGCTGATGGCTGTGTAGCACAGCAGCCTGGGTGTAGCCAGAAAAGGAACGAGGAAATCCCTTTAGCTTGTTTCTTTTCATCCTCCTTGCTATGGCCAATTGATCTACAAAGGCAGGTTGAAGAGGATGAGCACTATCCCAGGGAGAGTGCTCAGGAATGACAGCAAAGGAATTTTTTGCAAGTGGGGGTGGTCTGAGGACATTGGAAGAAAATTATTGGGTGCTTCCCTGTGGCAACCAGATTTCTGTGCAACCCAGGGAAGTTCCTGTTGGCAGAGCTGTGCTTTGGCTGCTCTTCGGAGCCAGCTGCACCAGGAGCCCCTGGGTCTCTCTGCTGTGATGGGACTCAGGGGAAACAGAGGAACTTACACTAAGGGATAGTCCTTTTGCTCTTGCAAACTTGCACTTGAGCAAAGATGTGATTTTGAACAAGGACAGGTCAGTTTTGAAGCTCTAGCAACCTGTATGCAAAATGGGATGGGACCAAGGATGTGCATAGAATCATAGAATCATGGAATGGTTTGGGTTGGAAGGGACCTTAAAGATCATCCAGTCCCAACCCCCCTGCCATCAGCAGGGACACCTTCCACTAGACCAGGTTGCTCAAAGCCTCATCCAACCTGGCCTTCAACACTTCCAGGGAGGGGGCATCCACAACTTCCTTGGGCAACCTGGAAGGAAGGAGTTAGGAGGGAGTTTGTGGATTAGGGAAAGCAAACCACGCTGGGAAGGAAATCAGCCCTGAAATACTGATTGAATTAACCCTGTAGGTGAATTTGTGTGAAGCATCATGCCACTTCTCGTATGCTTCAAGTTACCAAAGTGCTCCCTTGGGACAACACACAGGGTGTTGGGGAAGCCTCTGGGGTGAGTGGTATTTTTGAGAGGTATAAATTGCCTTAGGTCAGAGCAGCTGGAGAGCCTTTCAGCACTCCATCCACATGGAAACCAGCCAGGAAGCTTTTCTTCTTCTCTGGTAATACCTAAATTTTCCAGGTGGGTGGAGTTGGCGAGGATGGGGGAAAGCTCAGGACAGTGTCGTTGGTGTGATGACAGCTACACCTTCAAGGCTTAGGTGGTGAGATGGTGGCCTTGCAAAATGGATGGCAGCCCCCTCAGAAGTGTCTGGCAGCCCACCCTGCCACAGGGCTTTGTGAGAGCACCTTCCTAACACAAAATAAGGGCATGGAGGTGTTCAGCTGGGCATAACTGATCCCTTGCTTTCTCCAGTGTAACTCAGAGGTGATATCACTAAAAACAGGAGGCTATTTGATGACAATAAGGTGTGTGTGGCCCGAGTCAGACCTTGCAGAAAAATAATGGTCCTAAAACTGATCTTATTTGATCTGATTTTGTTCCCAAACTGGTATTTTTTCCCACTTGACTGCTCAGTGAAAGAACCCACCATGTGGGCTCTTTCCACTGCCTTTTCTAGGGGGTTTCACAGGTCACTAAGATACCAGGCACCTATTTAAATTCATTTATAGGATAAAAGGCTTGGAAAAGTAGCAAGCAGAAAAGTTTCTGTCAACTACTTCCTTCATGGGCCCTTTTCTACAAACATAGGCTGCAGTAAATCTGTTGTGCTCAACCAGGCAAAGCTGATGATTATTTTTCCCATGTTTCCTGCAACACCTGATCCTGTCAGACCCACAGAAACCCAGATTATTGCACCATCTGCTGTCATACGCGCAGGAAGCACTTCATTTTTGGAACAAGTATTACCTGTCAGGTGTGCTCTTGGCTTTTCTGCACTGGAAAGTGTATCTGTAACTGAGGGGAAAAAAAGAGAAATAAATATATATATAAGGATGTTTGCTGCTATTCAAGTCAATGAGATGTGAGCAGTGATTGATGGCGTTGTGTGCAGCCCCTTTCCATTTCCTCATACGTTTGAGTCAGGAGTTATTTGCCATGATTTAGGCATTGGAAGGGGCTGCCCAGGGAGGTGGTTGAGTCCCCATCCCTAGAGGTATTTAAAAGATGGGTAGATGAGGTGCTTAGAGATCTGGTTTAGCAGTGGACAGGTTTGGTTGGACTTGATGATCTCAAAGGTCTTTTCCAACCAAGAGAGAGTCCAGCACAGAGCCACCAAGATGATGAAGGGAGTGGAGCATCTCCCTGCTGAGGAAAGGCTGAGGGAGCTGGGGCTCTTTAGCTTGGAGAAGAGGAGACTGAGGGGTGACCTCATTAATGTTTATAAATATGTAAAGGGTGAATGTCAGGAGGATGGAGCCAGGCTCTTCTCAGTGATGCCCAATGGTAGGATAAGGGGCAATGGGTGTGAGCTGGAACACAGGAGGTTCTGCTTAAACTTGAGAAGAAACTTCTTTCCAGTGAGGTTGACAGAGCCCTGGGACAGGCTGCCCAGGGAGGGTGTGGAGTCTCCTCTGGAGACATTCAAGACCCGCCTGGACGCCTTCCTGTGTGATCTCATTTAGGTTCCTGCTCTGGCAGGGGGATTGGACTGGATGATCTTTCGAGGTCCCTTCCAACCCCCAACATTCTGTGATTCTGTGTGATTCTGTGAACCAAATTATGATTCTCTGATTGTTTATTGACACCGTTGAGGTAATAAAACCCTTTTGTAAATGACTGAGCTTGCCAGACCTGCCATGATGTTGACAGGGCACATTGCAGCACTGTCTTAAATTGCTGGAGGGTGAACAGAGGGGGGATGTGGTGTACATGGGCTCCTGAACCCATGTTTTTGCATGTTCAGGGATTTATACTGATCTCAGAGATCTGCTGGGGAGGTCTGTGCTGGCGTTAGAAGCTTGCACAGCCCTGGGGTTAGAAGTGCTTGTACTTTCACTCTGGCCCTAGTTATCTCCCTGCATCTTGTTGCCCAGGTTTGCCTCTGTCTGCCCTGGCTTGTTTGGCTCCAGAGGGATTTGGGTGGTGAGAGCAGAGGGTGTCAGGGGAGATGTCAGCAGCAGGGTGCTGCGACAGAGATTGCAAAACCTCGGTAAACAGAGGTGTTGGGGATGGGGGAAAGGACTGGCCAACTTACCAGAGGAGACTGCCCGTTGCTTCAGAAAGCGAGAGCTCCTCACTTCTGTGACCTGTGGGAGAGACATGCAAGCAGTTAGCTCAGGGTTCCCAGGTGTACAGGACCTCCACAGAGCATCTTGTTCACATTATCCCAGAAAATGGAATGTGCTACAGTAATATTATCGACCTCAGTGAGAGCTTTGCTGTGAAAGGACAAGTCCTGACAGGGCTTTGCTTCCCTGTTGTTTGTTTGAAACCGCCTGCATCTCAGGAAAGGTGCCAGGGACAGGACCTGGGCTCCTGTGGTGGTGGTTGTGTTAAACTCCATTCTTGTTCAGAGGCTGGACAAGCCCTTGACTTAACTGGGAGAGGAGTGGTCAGTATGAATTGGCCATTGCTCACCCTCCTTTGGGACAGTGCCTCCATCCAGCACTGCTGGAGCACCTCTGTTGCTTGGAGATGCTTCTGTCCCTCAATCTACACAGAGCAAACAGCAAGCAGAGCAATCTGAGTGATTCTTCCCTGTCTCAAGACTCAGCTGATCCGAACCTTTGCAGGTGCTCTGTTCATCCATAATGCCAGCAAAGAGACTAATTGAGGTGTATCAAGTACAGAGCTGTTGTTTCACCTGCTTTTCTTCCTGCATCTGCTTTATTTCAGACTGTTAGTCTGTTGCTGAGGTCTGTCCCAAATGTTGGGTAGCCTCCTTGGAGTTCAGAAAGGTGCTGAGCAGGTCTGAGAGTGCAGCTAGCCGGGGGCGAGCTCTGTGGCTCGCTGACACTCCACCCAGGGAAGGCAGGGTGATTCGTGCATGCTCGCCTCTGACGTTTCCTTCTAGAGCCAAACACCAGCTCACTCACAGCACATCCTGGTGCCAACTTGCATTTGCACGGCAGCAGGGCACGGCCCTGAGCTGTGCCAACTGGTTCTGACGTTTAGGTTGAGCAGTTCAAAGAGAAACTGCTGCCTGCCTGCCACATGCCTACCAGGGCTGATCCTTCTGCATCATGCCTGGGCACGGCTGCTGGCTTCTCACCAGTCCTCTTACAGCAGCCTGCAGAGCAGCATGGATCCTAACTGGGATGCTGTGGGATGCTGACTCTGGATCCAGCCTCCCAGAGGTGTGAGGAGCATCCCTTGTGCTTTTCCCAAGGCACACAGTTCATTGTGGGTCTGTGCCAACAGTGTGGTTGCAGAAAGTTGACAGTCTGGGTTATGCAGCCAGCTCAGGGCCATCAGGAACCTCTATCACATAACATTTGTCAGGAGCACGCTGCTGCAGCGTGGTGTTTTTTATGGACAGCTACCATAAATATAGTGAATAAACTGATCAGCTTGCAGGTGGGGATTTCATGCACAGTGCTTCAAAAAATAGGCTGAAATAATATTAGCACAGAGATGTTGAAGTTATCTCCTGGTGGCTGTGTCTCACACAACTCCAAATGCTGCAGGAGAAGTAGAAAATCGATAATTTATATTGGCCAGGGAAAGGAAAGTGTTTGCAGGAGAAGAGTCAGGCTGCCTGGGTTTGGGGACTGCTGGTTACTCTAATAAACCCAAAGACACAAGCAGTAAATATCCATGTGCTTCTGCACAAAAATAGTGGCTCTGGTGTGTTGTAAAAAAAATGGAGAAAGAAAACTGCAGGGAAATTATCTTTTTTTCCTTTTTTTCCCCTCCCTTCCCCACCTGTACACATATATACAGCCCAGCCACAGGGAAATGTCAGCGAGAAGGCACAGTGGTGTGAAAGCTCAGTGTGTGGCTGACAGAGAGAAATGATGTTGTGCTGTCAATGAGATGTCTGGGTCTTTCATTATGACTAATGACTTTCTCCAAGGTCCCTGTCTGCTTGCTGTGGTGTCTAAACATGACTGTGCTTTTGATGTGACACAGAGTCATAGCCAGGTGACTTTGTCCTTCCCCTAATGGGAAGCACAAGATCAGTGTGGAGGATTTTCCTCAAACTTGCTTTTTGGACAGATTTATATGTGTGTATTTTACACCATTATTTATGTGACACTTCCTACATATTTCTCGTGACATGTTTTCTAATGATGCTAAGTACTGCAATGAGCTCCAAATCAATCACCAACCTCCATTTTATCATGTAACCAGTGGGACTGTTTACGTATTTAAAGCCTCACTTCTGCTGAAGTGCTTCATATAAACTTGGATGTTGCAATACAAACAGAGATGATGGGAAAGTGGGAAGGATATCAAGAAGAATTCTGATTCTTTACAAAAGCTAAAAAAAAAAGTGGTTTTGACTAAAAACTGGGAAGAAGCCTTTTTTTTTTTTTTTTTTTGCAACTACAATTTACTTGTTTCCAAAGAAAGCCAGATGGAAACTCCAGGTGCAGGAGCTGCGTTCATAAATGCTGAAGGACAGTGGGGTGCAGTAGATAGAGCAGGGTGCTGCCAGGTGTGAAATTATTCTGTTGCTTGGAAAAAAGTAGATTTTTTTTTTTTCCCCATAATTGTGCTGTTTGATAAGGATACAAATCTAAACCTGCCATAGGAAATATTTTATCACTAGTCGATGCTACATAATGACCAGATATCAGTAATATTTGTCTGAAACAGGCAGAGATGGACATTGATGGTGTAGATGAGGTGGTGAGGGAGAGCTAAGCAGCATGAAACAAAAGAGAGATAATTGACACAATTAGTGTTTTCCTGTCTTTTCCTTTCTTCCTTAGCTGTGATTCTGAAAAGTTCCCAGCATGACTTCAATTTTCCCTTTGGTTACTGTGGAGAAACTGTAACCAGCACTGAGTGATGTTGAAAATCCCACTTTACAGCTAATTTGCAGACAAACCCTATCTTGGACAGCCAGCTTTAATTACCCTAAAGACTGCGGTATAAAAACCACTTCTATATAGTTTCGATACCAAAGTAGTCCAAAAGCCCCACTGCATTTATATCCATATATCACTAAAAGCAAAATGAAGGGCTGAACATCCCCTGTTCACACCCTTGGCCTCCTGCACCTCCAGGAAGGGCTGGGGGTATCCAGACAGAGAATTCCATGGGAAAAGCAGCTTGGCACTGCAGGCAGAGAGATTAAGAGGCAAAATATCCCCAGCACCTCCATTTTTAGCAGAAAATGCTATTTTAGGGGCAGGGTCTCTGCAGGTCATACACAGTCCATAGACCCACAATTTTGCTGACTCCAGTGATGCTGCACAGCCTGAGCTGGGCATTTTTGGTAGGGGTCTGTCCTGTGCCAGTAAAAAACTGGCCTCAGTGGGAGTATTTTGGTGCTGGACTGTAGTGCCCAGTGTAAGATGTACCCAGAGCACGTGCTCACTGGCTTCTTTGCCCATGTGGACCATGTGCATCAGGCAGCAATAACCAGTCAGGAGTTTTACTGGTGCTCTCTTTTGGAAGGGGAATCCCAGTCACCTGGGCTTAGGTGCAATACTCACTGCTCCTCCCCAGGTATTTCTCCATCCCTACAGCTCAGGAAGCCATTTCAGGTTCTCTTTCCCATTTGGGAAGGCCATTAGGGCTTCTGGCTCTGCATGTTCTGGAAGTCCTTATCTGAGCTTTGTTGCTGGCTTTCTGTCTTCATCCTTTTGGATGGGATCCAGGTGGAGCTGCTAGGACTTTGAAGTCCCTCCTCTACTGAAGTAGCTTGCTTCTGTATTGCAAGGCTGACATGGCACAGAAGTTCATGTCCCATCCTTTGGCTAGGTTTTGGAATTTCCCTTTATGCTGTTTGTGGTCCTGCCATGCCAAGAATGCCATGAAAATAAGCCCAAGTACCAATATCTCCAGGTCACAGGACTCGATGCTCTGCTGTATTAAGCCAGCTGAACGGGTGGCTAAGGTAGACAGAGATGCTCTCCTGGCTGCTATGTTGTTCCCCTGGTAGATTTGCACACTCAAACTGAAACTTGGCTTCCTTTTGTAAATGGCTGCACAGCAGTCCTGGTCCTTCCAGAGGAAGAGCATCACTAGAGCCTTTTATAGATTTCCTACTGATAACACAAGCCATGTGTTATTGCTTAAAAAAAAGCCTATTTCCTCACCTCGCTCTGTCTTGAAGCACAAAAGGAATGGATTTCTATTTCCAAAAGGGAAGTAGTGTAGTGAGCCTGGAAGGTGTCCAGGGAAACCATCATCAGACTTGAATTATTCATACAAGTCACATTACACCATGAGAGAGACAGAGAGAGCTGGCAGCTCACACATGCTGCTGTAATGACATTACTTGCCCTGCTTTTTCCTGAAGGGGACATTTCCAGAAGAAAAGGTGAGTTTATATCCCTTCAAAGGCAGAATGGGACACCATGTGCACCCACACAGAAGCAAGAGATGAATGAAGTGTCTCACCCTCAGGCAAAGAGAAGAGGCACACCCCTGTTGCACAAAGGTTCCCTGGCTCCCCTTCTCCTCCCCCTTCCTCCAGGAAGGATGGGCTCAAGAATTTACTACATCTGCTTCTTGCCTGCTCAGCTGTCAGTCCCTGTCTCCTCCCAGGACTCTCCCCAGTGCATGAGAAGTTGATACTCTGGCAAGTGTGGGCTGAGCTCTGGTCCTGGGGCAACGAGAGGACTCCTCCTGTGGGCTTGCTGCTGCAAGGGTCAGCAAGCGAATACGCATCTGGTGCGAACTTGAGTCCGCCCACTTGCTCCCAGTGTACCCAAGGCATCCGTGCCCTAAAACCAGTGCCACAGAGAGTTCTGGCACATATCTGATCCCAGCCTAGTCCTCCTGATTTGGGCTATCAATGAGGCACGTGAGGAAGGCATTCTTTAACAATCCAGATCTAACACTTCAAATGCAGAAGGAAACACAAAAAGACATTTTCCTGAGAGCCTTTATGCCCAAAAACATTTCCATGGACTGAAACACCCTACAGCTGTGCCAGCTGCAGGACACGGCTCTTTGGGGAATTAACAGAAAACTACACAGGCAGACAAATCCACCCCTCTGTCCTCTGTTGCTGGACAACACTGGTGACACAGTCAGTCACCAGTGGAGTCAATGAAAAATGCAGGATCCCATTGAGCTGCAGCCAGGCGCTCCACCCCCCTGGGCTTGGCACAACAGCAGCGGGCAGCTGGCCAGCCTTGGTGGTTTTTCAATTGCTCACTGGGACTTGCAGAGGCTGTAAATCATCTGATCACCTCGTTACATCATTGTGGGAATACTACGCACTAATAATTCAGTGCATATGCATGAGAACACACACTCACGTAGCCCAGGCTAGAGCAAATCTAGTGGCTTATATTGCACTTTTCCTCTTAAGAAGACAAATCCGGTCACGAAACTATTTTTCTCTGCTAACTCTGCCAACAGGTCAAAAGCCAGGAACACATTAGTCCAATCAAACAGGATAATGCTTCATTATTATTTCGCTCTAAGGTTGTTTCAAGAACTGAACTGTTCTGCTCTGTACAGCCTCAAAGGGTGCAAGCAAAGAGCAACGCAGGTGAGACTGTCCAAAGCACCTCTTGGCTCTGTGTGCACCCGCTCTAGCTGGCCTAAATAGCAGTAACAGGGTCAGTGCAGTAACAGGCACTTTCACACGGGCAAGAATTGGTCAAATTTCACAGCCTAAGGTACCACACAGGGCTGCCACATCTCCTTTCAGCCATGCATGAAGGTGTAACCAGGTGACGTGGAAGCTGCTGCGCCCAGAGTTGACATCACTTGGGTGCAAGATGCTGACTGTGCAGACTTGAGGTCAAACGAGGGTTAGAACATCCCTCTGCAGCCATGAGTACAGCTGTCACACTGTCTGAACATCCCTAGGCTAAATGTGGGCAAGCTTAGAGATCTGCCTTGGAGGCCACTTACTAACACTGCTTTCTTTTGCTGTTCCTAAGTGAGCATCTAACAAGCTGGCTAATTAGTTGTGGCATTTTAGACCTGAAGCTAAAATTCAAACCTGAATTCCTCAGACCTACAGGCATATATACATCCTTCTAGCATGAGGCAGTCCGGCTGAATTCATATCTACAGTGGAAATAGGCACTTGTTTGCAGTCTGGCACAAGAAGGAGTGGAGCAGTGTAGGAAAGTGTTAGAAGCAGCTACACCAGCAAGCTTGGATTGCAAAGTGAGTTTAGCTGTTTCTCAAAGGAGAAGAGCTGAGCAGATCCCTGGCTGTAGTGCAAGTTTTGATGAGGAGTATAAAAATGAGATGTGAAATTTAGGGTCAGACTCTTTAATTGTCCCCAGTCATATTTCTGCATGAGTTTGCATTAATAATACACAAGAGCTGTAGCTGTCTGCCCAGTGATGGATGATGGGCAGTGACCCACTGACATCAGCAGCACAGTCAGCAGATGTTTGTTGAAATAGGACACTGAGAGGGGAAGTCTCAGATTTAACCCAAAAGAAAGGAGGAAAATAAGCCATAGTGTCAAAATCTGGCTCTGAAATCAGCGGAGGGACACTAATTTCCAGCAAGTAGCAATTTTTCTTAAGCATTTCCTGCAGCATGTCAATAAAAGTTTTAAAGTTGTATGTTGTACCCTGACCTTAGTAAAATTAAGCCAAGAGGAACAGAAACCGTTAGTTAAAAATGACCAAAGAGTAATAAGATTTATCCCAGGCAGATTGGCTCTGCGTAAGGAAGAAGGAATGTAACAGCCAGTTTCTCATGTTTCTTTAAACACGAGAAACTCATAAAAGGAATAAAAGAACCAAGCAAACCCAACCCTGGAGACACGAGACGTGGCGTTCTCCTCCTCGCAGGGTGGCAGGACAGAAATTGGTCGTCAATCTCTTACCTGGCCAGCGCAGGAGCTGGGAGCTCTGAGGTTTCCAACCAGCAAGTAGGCAGTGGGCAGCGCCAGGACCAGCACGGTGAGCAGACACAGCAGCACCACACACCGTATCCTCCTCAAGTCCTCCCTGAGGTGCATCCTGGAAGTTTGGTTGATCCCAGGAGCCGCCTCTTCCAAGGTTATCTCAGCCACACGGTCCATGTCGGTACTTGACGTGTGAGCTGCTCTTGTTCCTGGATGGAAACTGGGAACGGCAAAATCTCTTCTGGTGTCTACCCTGCATGGAGACCCCCATTAAATAAGAGCTGCCCCGAGTGTGGGAAGGCACCGACACACACACACCCTCCCTCCCAAGGAATGCACCGCCTACAATAGAAACCTAGCTCAGGGAAAGGGAGCACGGCGGCTCCCCAAGCTCCCCGAGGTGCCTGCTGCATGCCTCCCTCTGGCTTTTTTTTCCCCCCCCTTGCTATGCAGAAGGAAGCTAGGAAAGTCCCAGTGGGTGGAACCAGGATAAACACTGCTGCTGGGCTGGATAAGCTTGAAAGCTTTTCCGCATGGCAAAGGGAACATGAAACCAATGGGAGTGAAAGTGAGAAGCACAGGGGGAGAGCGAGAGCCAGCGGTAGAGGGGAGCGTGCGGCATCCCAGAGCCCGGCAGTTTCAGAGCAGCCCTGGGAGTAAAGGGAAGAGACTTTTAGGGAAGGCGAGGGTACAGCAGGAGACCCCAAAGAAGGGGTCTGAGTCCCTGAAATGTTGCTTCATTCCTACCTTTCAGCAGAATTTGCTGCTGGTTGCTCGATATACCATTTGCACCAAACCATTCAGGGTCAGGCCTAAAACAAGGTGTTTAAGTGCCGTGGGGTTCATCTTCTCTGACCTTGTTTTAATTGTGCTTTCACAGGAGTCTGTTATCATCACTAGGAAAAGGTGTGACTTTGTTGCACTCGGGAAAAATTTATATAATCTTATTTTATTGATAGCTGGTATCTCTTTTAAAAGGACCTGCTGCCTATAGGCAACCTCAGGAGATGATCAACAACTGATGGAGGAGAAACAAGCTCAGACAGCAGCTGATGTCCCGTTGGAAGGGACTCCCATCTCCTGGGGAAGGCTAGCTGCCCGCTTGCTCCCTGCCACCAAGCAGCAGCTCACCCTTCATCCACTGGCCTTGCTGGGGCATAGGAAGGGCTTGACAGGAGCTGTCAGTGATGATGTTGCCATGTAGACTTACCCAGATTGTTGAAATTGGATTTTTATTTTTTTTTTTCCCCGGGAAAACTTGATTCTCATCAAAACTGAAACATGCTTTGATTTATACACACACACACACTGACGTGAAGAAACTTCTCCTTTTTCCCTGGGTAGAGAAACAGGGTGGAAACTTACTTATTTTTTACTGAGAAAGCAACAAGATTTGGTTTTTCCCACCTCCCCATGAAAAAACATTTCAGATTTGTGTCATTACAAAATAATATCAAAGAAAGACAAAGAGTTTCTCATGTCCTGGTCTGTCTGTAACCCCTGTCCCCACTCAATATGAGTTCAAACAACTCTTATCACTTGCACCTCAATAACACCGCTAGAAATCTTCCTATTACAATCATCCCGTGCGGCTCTTGATATACTAGAAGGCTCAAAGTCCTACTCTGAGCAGATCATATAATTTAGTGAGGATGACTGAGGCTGTCAGCAGCGGGACAGGGATCTTTGCCAGCAGACTGGACAGGGAATAAGCTAGGAAAAGAGAAAGTGTGAAGGGAAAGCAAAAAAAAGTGAAACCCAGTATTGTCTAGGGAGATAGGACAAGAGAGCTGGTAGAGCTCCAACGGACGTGTGCTCTACTCTGAGCCAAGCCACATAACTCCTTTGTGACCTTAGGCTAGTGACTGACTTTGTTTCCTTCTTTAATTCATTGTTTGTTTTCATTCAGGCTGTAAAACCTTGAGGACAAGGACTACTCGCTGTTTTACAGCACCCAGTACTAATTTTAGGGCACGGCTCCATTTATCATAAATTTAAAATACAGAATGGGAGGGAAGATGCTGCTAAGATTAGTAGAAAGAAAACTCATATTTCTGTGGAAGTGCTGTGTAAAGACGTGATTTTTTAAGTTGTTTTTCTTGGGGTCCCATGTGCTTATTCTATCTAAAAAACCTAATATTAATATTTTGGCTGTGAGTGTTAAAGTTAATTTTATCTTCATTGTGAGTGCCACAAAATGCTTAATATATATTCAAGGTACATGCCTTACAAGCAGACAGTCACCGATATCCCCAATCTGCCTGCCCACAAACCCCCTCGAGTTTATATTTTTATTTTCCAAGGTATTCCAGTGGAGCCAGTTCACAGTTAAAACAGCTCCTAAGAGTTTTTATTGGCCTGAAACTTCTTGCAGTGGTGCATGATGAAGAAGAAGAGAAGGACTTGGGAGTGGTGGTGAG